TTTTTTTTTAATTATTCTAATCTTGTGTTAATTTTACAATATCAATATTTTGGGAAAACTTCAAAGTTTGCATATTTAATCGCCACAAATCAAAATATTATAATCAAACTAGATTAATATACTTGGTAATGATCATACATTACATTATCATAAGAAACAAAGAAACGATACAAATATATATGCTGATCACAAGCCGATCAGCTAGCACAAAGACTCCCAAATCAAAACAAAGACACACAAAAACACGTACAACTCTTAAATTATTTCCCACGACTTATATAACAACACAAACACAAACATATAGTATTATTTTTTCTTTTTTCTTTTCAGTTTCTCTTATTGTTACAGCTTTTCGCTATATTCCCGTTACCTCCTTCGGGTAAAAGTCCACCGTGCAGGCACATCTTTCCGGTCCCGTAAACAATGGCGAGAATCTCTTCGGGGCTTCGGTCGAAAGCCACCGAATCAACATCACCGGCAAGCACATTCCCGGCGATCTTTCCCTCGGCACCGTCTTTCGGGTGGACTAATATACCCTCGTCTTTGTGCCCTTGCCCTCCGAGATTGTCCCTGAGTTCCGAAATCTGTTGGGTGAAATTAGCCACCGAGTATCCATATTTATCTACTTCCGTCTGGGCTTTTTCGTACAACATTTGCCTTATAATCGCATCTTGACCCGATTCCACCGCCAGAAGCCCCGCCACAAGCTGTCAGAAAAAAAAAAGAGCATATACACATGATCAGTAAGTACCAAAATCAAACTAGCATTTATGTGTTTCAATATAGAGTTCAAATATGATTTAATTTAATTACCCTTTTGAAAGGTGCACTGAAGAGGCAAGGCATTGCCCCGACATATCCGGTTAATCCGACATAAGGGATGACGTATGATGCAATAAGATAGTTCAAGTCGTTAGCGTAAGGGTCGAATGGGGGGTTGAGTTTAGTATTCCCTCCAAAGGCGTTGTTCATAATAGTTGCGAATACCTTTGGCCTCAGATCAAGCTGCGGCCTCGAGAATGCCGGATTACCCGGAATACTCCGTAGCGTCTGTGTTATTGCCCTATATACAGGTGTACATACATATTTTATTAATTAACCCACCTTATTTAATTTAACTATATATATATATATATATAAATGATTGATGGCAAGTTAGAAGTTACGTACTTGAGATGTCCGATTTCCTGATAAGCCATTTGGGTGACGATATCTCTGACGAAATCGGTTAGGTTGGCCTTTTGGCAGCCGAGGGGCGGTGGGCCTCCGTTGCTGAGGCCGGGAGATGCTTTGTCGAGCCCATAGCCGAGAGCGCCGCACAAGAAAAATTCGGCCTCCAAGTACTCGAGATTCAGTGGGAAAGCGACTAGGTCGATTTCGTGATGGGTGCAATTCGGAAAATAAGCAGGCGGATTATTATTATTGTAAGGGTAGCTGCGGCAGAGATGGAGGAGAAAGGCGGCAGCTAAGGCGACGGCCAAGGCGGCCGAGGTCGAAATCGCCATTTTGCACTAAATTAATAATTATCTATATATATGTATGTAAGTGTGTATGTGAAGTTTGATTGATTTTGAGTTGTGAATGTGGTGATTGAAGGGGTGGTAGGAGGCGCTTATTTATAGTGAGTGAGCCAGCGTCTGAAACATGCTTTGGCCCTTACTACAAGCTTTTTACTTTTTTTTTTTTTTTTTTTTTT